TTCCGATCTAATCGGAAATTATCTGATTACATCAGATCTCTTAAGGTATGAGCAGATGTTACGCGTCAGATCTTACCGAATCTGAGCAGTTCTCGTCGTAAAACTTATAAAAATCTCTCCTATACTCTTCTAGTGTGGATATAAATATTATATATATTATGTACGCAAGTAAATAAAATATATATTATAAAGATTTAAAAATATGTTTATAAAGATGTAGCACACAATACATAAAACTAAGAATGTACAATTATATAAATGTAAACAGCTAAAATAAAAAAATTATTGGCTATTTGAATATAATTAATTTTATTCCTTATATTTTAATTTAATTATTTAAATTTTAATTTAATTCCTTAGATAACCATATAAATAATATTTTTTAAATATTAGCAGTATTGAATATCCATATATCAATTTGTACATTAATATAATATTACAGCATCGTATCAATTAATTTTCTATTAAGGTAACGACTCTTTGTTTTTCAACATTACGCTGCACATTTGCAGTCAAGTGGAAGTTTTCAAAGCCAAGTTTATCGATTTTAATGTTACGAGACCGCAAGTTTATAAACGTTTCCTCACGCTAATTAAAAGCCACAACTTTTTGATAAGATTGGCCATAGAACTTGCTGATACAATTAGTTTTATTTTACTAATTCAATTATCTATTATCAGTTTACAATTATGCATAATGAGTGATTATTACATAATTTGTTGTTTCGTGAAATATAGAATTATGTTATAAGGATTTATTAAACAAGTAATTTCTTTTTCAGGTTATTCTAGCATTGAAAGACAACGACACTGCTATGGCAACAAAAAGTATAATGGTACAGAGCGCTTTACTATCACAATTAATACTATATAGTTTTATCGGAGATTACCTAAACTCTCAGATGGAAAAAGTAGGACTTTGTATTTATCAAACTACCTGGTATGACTTTCCTACAAAACTGACAAGAAACTTAATTTTCATCATAATGCGGTCAGAATCTCCCATTGCGAGTCACATTGCGAGCTGGACATTTTATTGTGGTAAATTTATCAACCTACATGAGCATCCTAAAAGCTTCTATTACGTATCTGTCTGTACTTCGAGTAATGGTAGAAATATAAAATATTAAATGTAAAATAAAAAAATTCTACAGAAACTCTAAATCGGCTTAAAATTCAATAAGACAGAAATCAATAAAGAAAGATAAATTTAATTAGAACATTATTTTAATAAAATTGTTGATCATAATTATAAAGCGCAAACGTCAATTGTGCCAAACCAATTTATTTTCATGTATAATATAATATTAAAAATATACACATATTTAGAAAACACAGTCTTTTTTTAAATATTACAACTAATTCTAATCATATATCATGTATACATTTTTTATAAAAAGTAACATCTCTTTTCTAAAGTTTAACTCTTATATAGTAAGAATGTGTTTTTGTTATCTCCTTAAAACAATTGATAAAATATGAGAATATTGCAATAGACTTAAATATATTATCAGACACTAAAAAAATATCTTTTTATTAGTGTAACATTTTGAATATTTTGTAATGATATTCTTTAAACAAAGAGTCTAATTATAATTATAAATTAACTTACTTTAATTAAATTTTACATTAAAATTGAGAAAGGAATTTTTAATACAAAGAATTACTTACTTTTCTGCTATCTTCATAAATTTATCTTTGCAAATATACTTCTCTTGGATCTTCAACATTCTCTAGTCACAAATTTCGAGATGATATAAAGCAGAAACTTATTTTTTCGTGATAAAGTTTCAGTGAGATATAAACGGGGATAAGGTCTCATGAGAAATTGACATGTGCTTTATCATTAAGCTGTTAGACCAATGACACGTATTTGAAATAGGTTTTTCCGAATTATATATAACATATAGTCATTTCTGCCATGCATGATGGCTGCAAATGTGCAAGGCCACAGGAACGTTCAACATCGGGGTGCATAATGAAATGTGTCCAATCAATAATGAATGAATGCATAAGTTGCGTTAGCTAGTGCTTACGTTCGATGACATCGTAATCCTTAACATGCGAGGATGGCATCATGCAAAACATGGAACAAAGAAATGTCTCGCGAATTTTCTATGTATAAGCGAATAATGTGGCCGCTCGGTTCGTGGCCTTTAGATCATGGTAGAAACTTTGCAAAATTGCGTGCGCTGCTTCTTATACTCACACAGGTAAATTTAAATATTATCTAATTAAAAGTTATTAAGTTAAAAATAAAACCGTTTCATTTATTAATATATAATTTATTCTAACGGGTGAGAAGTGCATATTACATTCTTTTAGATAAACAAAATATATATAAAATAATTTTTTTTATAGATAAGGATTGAATATAAACTTTTGTATATATCACAATCAAAGTGTTAACTCACTAGTCAATGTATACATTTATTTATGGTAAATGTATACATTCGTTACAACAGATTACAGTAAGTGTATACCCTTACAATTTCGAATTAACACCTTGACTGTGACATAAATAAATATAACTCAGTAAATACTGAAATACTAAAATATTGATATCATGATTTTATAATTTTATACTCAACAATATAACCATTATACTATATGTTATAATGGTACATAACTATATATATTATAGTATAATGGTATATACAACGTATATGTGTTACTACATGTGTAAAATTACATTTATATTGTTGAGTGTGAAATTATAACATTAATGTTTTTCTAGTTGGTGCTTACAGGGAAATAATTCATTACGAATTTTAATATTTTATCTTTCTTAATTTTCGGTAAATTAAATAAGACTGACATATATGTACATATACATACATATACACTCCTCAGCAAGATATGAACTTCTATAATTTTTTAAAAAATACTGCGCTCAAGTTGCTCTTTATAGAAATTTAATACTAATTCTGGCCAATTAATCACACATTTTCAGCATTAAAAGTCCTATTAACAATACTTTTAATACTCAAAGTATGTTATTAATTGCCCAGTATTTATAGTATAAAATTTCTATAATGATTGCGTGTAGTCGGAATCGCGACGTTACCAGTCGTACTAAATTAGTATACTATACCTATGGTGAAGTATAACATGGGGTGTGTGATATCCCACATATGGTTCTCCATGTGGGGTATCTCATATCCCTTGTTATGCTTTACCGAATTTCTACGAACCAGATGGAAAAAATCAACGAGGTTGGATTTATCCATCTGGTTCGCAATTAAAATAGAATAATAATAAATTCTGTGCAGTTATTGTTTATACGTATATAGCAAATAAAATTTTCTAACAAAATATATTCTTTCCTTGGCAAAAATAAAAATCAGAGCGTAAGTCGAATGTAAAGGCAGAGTAACAAAAGTGTCAATGAAATTTTTAGAAAGTGTAAATTGGAACGGCGAGTGTTTACTTTTTAAACGCTGTTCCAAAAAATTCATGCTTTCTAAAAGTTTAATTGATACTTCTATTACTCTTAGTTCACATTCGACTTACGCTCCGATTTTTATTTTTAGTAATCTTATATTCTTTTATATATTTATTTTATATTGACAGACTATGATGATAATTTATATAGGCGTGGACATTAGTTTTCACAACAATGTCACTCTGATTATGGTCATCGATCACCTCATGCTAGCATCATGCGGGACTTTGGCTATTGTAAAGATAGCGGTGATACGGTTGCATCGCGACAACTTGTTGAAAATCCTCGTCAATGCATCGAATGACTGGACGTATATCACAAAACAGGATCATCGGCAAGTCATGTTTCGTTACACTAATCTAGGCAGATTTGTCTTCTTCTTTCAGATGGGTTCCACGTATTTTGTCATTATGCCGTTAATAGTTGAATCACTTTTATCCTTTGTGACGATGCCTTCACAAAACGTAACATTAACTGCAAAATCCGAGAAAGAAATGCAGCTACCTCAAGAGATGATTTGTCCATTCGATAGTCAGATCGTTTGCTTCAGTATGTGTATTCTTCAATTTATTCAGCTGATCAGCACATGCACGGGGAATGTTGGCAGCGATGTTTTCCTCTTCGGTATTTGTATGCATCTCTGTGGACAATTGGAAGTGCTCGACCGAGAATTGCTGAAATTTCACGAAAGAAAGGAGAATGGTTATTGGAAACGATGTAAAATGGTCACACTGATCGAGAGGCACTGTTTGCTTCTAAATCTAGCCAAAGACATCGTTTCTGTACTCGATATCATTTTGATTGCTCAGCTGATTCTCCACGCTTTGTTTATATGTTTAATAGGTAATTTAAATTTAAAGCACATATCTTATATTTCTCTCTTTCTAATAATTCTTTATCGCAATATGCTCCTTTTGTCCAAATATTTGTTTAAAAAAAATAATAAAACTAATTGTTACAAAAATAGATAGTTAAATGTCGGGTATTTTTTAGGATTAATGTTTATTGAATCGTTGGTAAATAGTGATTTTGTTCTTGTCATGAGAAGTATAAGCTCTATTAATATAGTGATGATACAGCTGTTCTTATACAGCTATATGGGAGAAACTCTGTCATCAAGAACGCAAGCAATTTCTAACGCCATTTATTTAAGTAAGTGGTACGACTTGCCTACAAACATTCTGCGAGATGTATATTTCATAATAGCTCGTGCTAATGTACCCGTTCGTTTAAAAGTAGGTAAATTCTATATTGTGGACCTTGATAGTTTCAAAAATGTTTTGAAAATCTCCGTTTCTTATTTTTCTGTATTACAAATTATGCTTGTTCAATAAATATTGTTAGAAACATAAATACATTTGGTTAAAGCTTGGAAAATTTTAATTTTTGCTTTTTACTTTTCTGACTTATGAAATGAAAAAGAGACATATAAAGACTCACCTGTTATATCACTTTTGAACGGAAAAATTCATTAAATTCAATAAACATCGTTGCATCTACATTACGAAACTGAAATAAAACATTCTACACAGAGAATAACGTAGTGAATTGTTCAAGTAAACGGTCTGTCGGTTTTTCCATGCAATAAAGGATATAGTCGTTTTTTCAGTGTTCGCAACAACTTCGAAGAAATGATTACGTAAATTCTCCAAAGACAATTTGGCGTAAAAGCATAATATTCTGCACTTTCTGATAATGCGTTAAGAAAGTGAAGGTGGGTTGATAAGCGGGTATATATTTCAAGTTGAATAAAAAATGAATCGTAATACCTGCGTTGTGTCGATGTACCGGGCACATTATTAGTTATTGGCATCAGTTACAGTCATTACGTCTACCTGATGGCAACTGAACGATGGAAAAACGATGTCGCATATGCGATGACTCCCTTCAAACTGTTAACGTGGCCCCTCGGTCTTTGGCCTCTTCAAGTTTATAACATCTATTCGCTAATACGATGTGTCTTGGTCACTTGTTGCATGGTATCGTCTCAGTTTCGACGTTTCTATCATGATACGTAGATAAAACTTTTACGTTAACATTACAATATTTTAAATAAAACTTTATTGATAACGATAACAATATCAAGTGTTTGAATTTTTAAATGATAGATATCCTATTAGTGATGACCGTAGCGAAACGTATTTTTTTTTCAAGAATAATAACTCATTGATAGAGAATATCACAGATACACAAATCATTAACTGTTGTAAATTGTTCAATGCAGACATTTCTACTTAGGACTTACGTTTATTTCTTGTTTATGTGAAAGGTAGCATAACTGTTTCTAAGGAATTCTATAGATGTGTTATGTCGCTTATTTTGTGATTTCGTCATTCATATTTAAGAATCGCATTGACGTAACATTTTTGGTAATATCGTCAAAAAGAATAGATCTCATACACAGAAAATAAATTAGATGAAAAAAATTTACATACACAATTAGAGAAAGATTTTCATCGGTATTGTTTCTATTAAATTTTCGTTTATACCATAGAAAAATTTATATATAACAATTATATTATCCATTGTATAATAACTTTGCCGTGTAAATATTTTAATATTAAAGATTTGAAATGTTCAATTTTGTATATCTTTAAATTAGTCCAGAAAATTCTAATATATTTTTACATATATACATAGAGAACTAAAATGGAAGCTTACTTATTTCAATTTTAAAAATTATCTTATAATTAAATATTAATATTTTCAAAGATCCGTCGATGTGGAATTGGGATATATTTTTTCTAGACACAAAAGTTTGAATGAGAAAATATACCATTTACGCATCTCAACAGAGCATAATAGTGATCTTGCCTTCCATGGAGTTTTACATGGGCTGTACTAACACGGAGCAGAATATAGACGGTCTTATGTTAGCCTGTTGTGGTGTACTCGGAGTGTTCAAGACTATATGTTTCCGTATTTACGCGAAAAACTTAACTGACAATTACAGTTCTGCCCGGAATGATTATTTGACGATTGAAAACACAGAGAACCGTGCTATCATGCGGAAACACGCTTCTATGGGAAGAATTCTCTCCTGTTTCATGGTGTGTTTCTCTTACATTAGTGTAATGATATATTCGCTAATACCCCTTCTTGGTGAAGATCTGGTTGATGATCAAGATGATCAAATCAACAGAACAAATGAAGGCCAAATGAACCAAATAGTATTGGACTATCCAATGCCGTCAAGATGCGCGTTAGAATATTTGCACGTCCCAAGGAGCATGTATGAATTTATCTGTATCTTCGAGTTTATTGTGCTAATACTTACGTGTACCTGTAATCACGGTAATATCTATTTGTTGTTTAATATATATGTTTTTTTACATCTTTCCATCATGTAATATTATTTAAAATATGCCAGAATTCTGAACATAAAATTATATCCGAATATTTTATTAACTATGTTGAAGTAATTATTATTTGTTTATTGCTAATTATAAAGAGTCATATTAAAAGTTTTAGAGAGTAGCATAAAAGCAGAAAATATATTTATATAAACGTTATAAAAATAATATATAATTCTGTAGATAAAAGTAATACAAAGAATTTAATAAATATTACGGGGTAGGCTTTACAATTTTTAAAATAAGACAATAATATAAAATATAACTTAAATATTAATTTCTTGTTATATATATAACAACAGAAAATAGAATATTTTATTTCTATTGGTTTCTACATTTGGATCTAGCAAAGAACTAAGGCAAGAACCAATCATATTAATGAAATGACAGAACTGATTTGTCTAATATCTAAATATCATTCTATTTTTTATTCTTATATAACAAATAATTAATATTGAAGTTATGTTTTGTAATGTTATGTCATTTTGAAAATTGTAATGTCCTCGTGGCTTACTCTGTATATGTATTTTTTATTACAATATATTAATGAAATTTGTATCATTGTATTTCTTTTTTTCTTTCTATAAAGGTAATGATTCTTTGTTTCTCAATATTACATTGCATATGTGCGGCCAAGTAAAAATTCTTAAAGCCAATTTCGTCAATTTTGCTGTCTCAAATCCACAAGTCTACGATCGTTTCAATGATCTAATTCAGAGGCATATTTGTCTGATGGAATTATCCAAGGAACTGACCGAATCGATCAGTGTAGTTTTGTTAACGCAGTTATTTATTAGCAGCATTCTGCTGTGTATAATGGGTAGATATTGTAGTTTTTATGACATAAAATTTTTCAACATATGTAAATTACAAAAATCTTAAGCAGATAAATAATTTTTTAGGATTTCAATTTATCTCAGCGTTAAAAACACACAACGTTGTTGTTATGGGGAAAAGCGCTATGGTATTGTGTACCTTCTTAACGCAGTTGTCCATATATAGTTTTGTCGGTGATCATTTGAAGTCTCAAATGGAAGAAATTGGATTTTTCATTTATCAAAGCAACTGGTACGACCTTCCTACGAAGTTGGCGAGAAATTTAATCTTCATCATTATGAGAACACGATCTCCCGCCAAGCTGCTGGCTGGAAATTTCATTGTGGTAAACCTGGCAACATATATGAGTATTCTGAAAACTTCTATTTCATATCTATCTGTATTACGTGTAATGATAGAAACATAAAATATATTATTTGTGATAAAAACATTTTACAAAGTACAAATCTACGATTCGGAATTATGTTTGACGAGAGAAAATTCTGTAGAAATAAAAAATTATTAGAATATTGTTTTAATAAAATTGCTTTTATAATTACAATATAACCATTTAATTGTGCCGAAAATCAATTACTTCTTCTCATAAAGAAAATCTCAGAAATATGTACTTATTTGAAAAAGATATGTTGTCGTGTAAGAAATTACCACTTTAATATTGTATATATTTTTTACAAAAAAGTAATTTTACTATTTGTTTTTATTCTATACTTCTGTAAACTTATTTTTATCGTGTTAAATTGTTAAATTATCAATAATTGCAAGTATCACATTATTAACACGTTACACTTTACTAACATACTTTAAACATAATGATTATTACCTTTTATCCTTGATATCCAACTTTGAATGCCCAATTGTTACGTAGAATCATTGCAATGTACTGCTTGAGATGTTTTTGTAATACTCTATCGAAACTCAAAAACCCATGTCATGAATAGGTTGCACTACGAATCACACTTGTCTTGAAATACAATAATACATCAACGCGTTATCAATCAGATTGGAATAGATTTTACATTTTTATCCATAACTTTCAAATTCTAAATTAATTTATCGTTTATATCGAACAATGCACATTTTTTTCGTCATCACTACTAACGCGATCTTTTTTCTATTGCGCTTATACTGCAGGGTTGTGAAAGATGCAGACATGCGTACTAGTCTCTTTTCACTTTTATCTTACTGCCATTCATCATGCGCTGTATAAACTAATAAAACATGAGCCCAATGATGATAATAATATCTTATCTGCATATCCCATGGTAATGTTCATGACAAAGTTCATAAATTCACATTGAAATTGCGACATCAAAAATTGCATCCATAGTAATGTTTCATAATAACATTCGTAAATTGACATAGAAGTTGCAATATTGGAAATTGTACCTATATAATAATGTTTTATGACGAAAACGTTCGTAAATTGACATTGAATTTGCGACACAAGAAATTGCATCCATAATGACCGGACAGTTTCGAATGTTCAGTCATCCGCGTAGTTTGTGTGATCACTATAATGTCGGATGATGTTTGGAACGACGATATCGCTTATGTGTTCTCTATTCATAGAACATTTATGCAAATACTTGGTATATGGCCATTACAAAGAAAGACGATGGCCACGATAATCCAATGGAACGTAATGATATTTCTACAGGTACGTTGATAATACATTGACAGGGAGGGAATAAATTATAAAAACACGTTGCAACAGAAAGAAAATAAGTATACTGGAACTATACGAAACTTTTAACTCTTTTAAGTCTAAGAATTTATGCACAAAATATTACTAAATGTCTTCGTAAATAGTGCAAGCTTTTCAAGTGCGAATATATTATATTTTACATTCATTATTATACATGCATATTTTCTAAGGCAATGGGATCATTATTAGCTTTCTCCACTCATCTTCCTGTTTATGGAGTTCGCTGGAAATAATAGTGATGCCGGTACAAATATAGATGCCATATTATATCTTTCATGCACATTGAGTTTAAATTTGAAATATATCGCTATTGCTGCTAACGGAGGAAAGTTGGCTAAAAACATTAAGGCTGCCGCTGCCGATTGGGTGTCTGCAAAGAATGATGAGAAATCGTATAAGATCATGAAGAAATATGCGTTTAAATCCAGACTGTGTACTCTTTTGATGTTGAATTCATCTTTCATGTGTGGTTCCCTTTATCTGCTGTCCGTCTTAGTTATGAACTTAATAGAAATATTTTTACAAGATCAAATGGCGAATGTATCAAATGGTAATGTGACATTTTTGGAATATTTGTTAAATTATTATTCAATACAAAGTTCTTTTTAAATGAACGTGCTAGAATGTTAATAACAATTATTAGGAATTATCCTAAGAAATGAAAAAGTCCATATCTTTTTTTATTATTCAGTACTGTCCTAGCAAGGTGGTGTTATTTGTTGTCATTTTGACGTTAATCAAAATGATGTTTTTGGTTACATTTTGATATTAAAATGACAACAAATAATGTTTGGCTTATACTTAGAGTGTATTAGATATACGTAAATTTATTTTGCAAATTATTTTTTGTTACTATATTGAATTTTCTACTTTAGATCTTAAGAAAAGAACATACAAAGTATATGCAATTTTATAAGTATCTATCATTTAACTTTTCCATTTAATAAAATACCATATAGGGTTTTACAATCGACCTACTGATGAGCCATTACTGGTTGCCATAGTTCAGGTACTAACACAATACTGACAAACTACTGGCCCAGTACTGGCTAAGTACTGGATGATAATTTGGGCTCGGTATTGGCAGATAGTACTGGTCCAGTCATTTTAGTCAGTGATGGCTCAGTATTGGTTGACAGAACCTTGGCCGTCAGTTGACAATCGTAGCATTGGCTACGTGTTGGTTTCGTTGTAACTACTGGCAACCTTATATGGGCAGACATGATCTAGATTAAAATTTTCTTATTAGAATCTAAAAGATTTTTAAACAAAAAGCATTAAAACTTTAATTCTATGTTTATTACATTATTTTATTATTTGTCTTTTTTAACTTTAACGCTTTTATTCTAATATCTAAATTACTTATGTTACATTATGTTATTGTTCTTAAGACTTGTATTCTTATTGTATACAGGTAATGTTAGTGTAACAGATAGGCTGTTTATAATCCCATGTGGTGAGTTTGGTAACAAAATTAACGGCTTGCAGTACACGATGATCATCGGCTTTCAAACTGTTCAATTACTCGTGATATGTATAGTGCAACCTATTGGAGACAGTTTTTACATTAACGTTACTCTACATCTCACTGGTCAACTTAAAATACTCAAAAAAAGATTTAAAAATTTTGCAAGCAGGTCAGACACTCAGATAAATCATCGGAAGCACTTTATTAGTTTGATTAACAGGCACTGCGAATTAGCGGAATTCAATCAGAATTTAGAAGATACGTTCAATCTGATTATATTATTCCAACTTGTTATAGTAACGCTTCTGCTCGCGCTACTAGGTATTGTATATCAAACATTTTATATTGAATTTATTGTGAATTTAATGATTTTTTATAAATTCTTATTTTTTATCAAGATATTTAAATGTACCATATTATATTGTGATTAAAGAATTAATCGTATTATATTATATTAATCTTTAAGTTTTCACCTTTTTATCCCTTTCAGGATTACGTATAATATTTTGTTTAAAACATCACTATTATGTCGATTTAATGAAAAGTATTCTACTTCTGAACTATATGCTTATGGAATCGCTGTTGTACTGCTATGGTGGTGATTTTATACAAAAAGGAAGTGAAGATATATTCCATGCAATGTTTAAAGCTTCCTGGTTTACGCTTCCCGCAACGATGATGAAGGACTTGAACTTCGCGATGATGAGGTCAAGCTATCCGTTTCGTTTCACTGGTGGAAAATTTTTCTACGCTAATTGCGAGGCAATAGTGTACGTTCTAAAGTCGGCAGCTTCATATATTTCGGTTTTACGAATGGCGCTAAAAGATTAATAAAAATCAACAAATCAGAATTTCCAGGATAAAAATCATATAAAAATTAACACTATGTAAAATAGAATTAATTAAAATACTTTAAATGTATACTTATAATTTCTATAATATATTTAATTATTATATGGATGACAAAAAATAAAAAATAAATAATACGCAAAAACTCATTGCTCCTTTCATAACTATAACTTCCTCTACTTTGTGACATATGTACTGCCGATAGATGCCTGATAGCTTCAGTCCTTTTTTTTTTACTTTATTCACTACGTTGCTTAGGTGATACAATAAAAAAACATTTTATTCACGGAAAAGAAACGTAAACCTACTATATACAGAACATCGTCGTTCAACTCGTAATTGACCGCGAGCATCTATGTCTATGCGCTGACCCAACAGTATACATTGAAAATTGTGCATTACCCGCGAGCGTTCGAAAGATGCGGGAGAGAGACACAAATTTGTATCATATACTTATCTTACCACCCTAAAGGTTGGTCAGTGCGGAAGGACTAGATGCGTATAGACGTAGTAATTTGCTTCGGGGCAAAAGTAAGCCATCGACCCGAGCAATATCCGGTCACGCAGGACTACAATTTTTCTTTTTGAGGTCGAAACCAACTAATACATCGCAGAACATGAAGACGAATTGGAACAGTGGTATAGATTATGGTTTCTCTATGATAAAATCGATGATGTGGATACTTGGTTTATGGCCTTTGCAGCAGGATAATATAGTTTACACGATTCAGTGGTTCATAATATTTATAGCAGGGGTAAAATAACGTAACATAATGTAAGATAACAATGTAGAAATTAGCTACTTGTAATGGTAAGAGAAAAAGTATGCAATTTTTTAATAAAAATTAAGGTAAACAGTTGCATTAGCTTTACTTAAATCTTTTTTAGTCACGTTGAAAATTATAAGAATTTTAATTTTAAATTGTTCTATAATTAAGTCTATTATCTGTGTGTGATTGGAATAAATTATATAACACGTGTAACATGTATATAGAAAATATATAAAATATAACACATTGAAAGATACATATTACGCACAAAGATTTATCATAATTAATCATAATTTAAACATAAAGAACAATTGATGATTAAAATTTTATAAACAGTTTAAACGTTGTTTCTCGATATTTACTGTTTTTGATGTAGTGCAACTTCACATGAGAATGCAATTTTATATTTGCTACCGTGCAGTCTCTCACAATGATCAACGTGCTGATAGAAGCTTTCAAGAGCTGTGATGCTGTTAGAGACGGTTTGGATATTCTTCGTCTAATAGAAAGCTGCATGCATGCGTGGTCGAACATTGTTTTTCCGCGAATTTACATGAAAAAGATTGCCATTAATCTTAATTCTGCAATCGACGACTGGTCATCTCCGTCTATGAAGAAAGAGTCGCGCATGGTGATGATGGGATATGCACGTGCAGGACGTCTAATCGCCCTGACTCACTTGATCGCTGGAGCAACAGCAGGCGCCTTATGGTTCATATCCGTCTTCCTCAGCAATAAACAAGAGGTTGTATTAAATCTTACATCTAAATAAGACCATTGTTGAATAAAATTGAAACATATTTTGTCAATAAAAAAAATGTTTTATTTTATAAAAATTAATATATCGTATATGTATTTTACAGGCTGCAATTATAAATAATGATACTGTAGCTACATGGAATTTTGTCATTCCGTCAACGTGTCTGTACAAAGGGGTTTCGTATTCCACGTACAAAATATTGTTTATGATGCAAGTAATACAAGGATCTTTGATATTGATATCAGAATGCGCTTGCGACAGTTTTTTCTTCGGCATCACTATGCATCTTTGCGGTCAACTAGAACTTTTGAGGATACAATTTACGGAGATCAGCAAGAAACATTACGACGAAAAGTGTCATAGAAATGTTTTAGGGCCATTGGTCAAAAGACATTGCCAGTTGATAGCATTGACCAAAAATATTGAAGACGCTTTTAATATCAACATTTTATTACGACTTTTAATAATTAGCGTAGTTATTGCATCTTCAGGTATGTATCTAAAAATCAATCTTTTTGATTTTATATTGATCCATGTTGAATGACATTACAAAAGCATAAAATTATATCTCAAATCTATTTTGCCACTAAAAACTATAAAAATTACAATAAGTTTCGCAATACATACATTTATGTAATTAGAATTATTGAATTATTTTTAAAATTTAAAGTAAAATTCATAATAAGAAAGATTAAAGTATTAATACAAAAAATAATAAAATTTTAATAAAAGTTATGTATAAAACTTATTATGTAATACTTTAATACATAAAATACATCCAATACAAAAATCTAAATTAACATAATATATTCATAATTCGAAGAGTTGCGTGTTTTCAGGAGTAGGGATTCTCCTGTCAATCAAGCAACAAGATTATAAGGAAATGATAAAAATGTTCATGTCTATTCAATTTTATATGGTACAAACTTTTTTGTATACGTATGCCGGCGATACTTTGAAGAATCGAAGCGAGTCAATTGTCTATGCCATATACAGCACCGCATGGGACGAAATGTCACCTGTCATGGTGAAAGATCTGATATTCATTATGATGAGAATGAAGACTCCTCTTCGAATCAGTGCCGGAAAATTTTTCTATCTTACGCGAAACACTATGACAGATATCTTGAAAACCACCTTAACATACATATCCTTTTTACAGGTGACAATTAACGAATCAGAAAATCCTTAATAATTCCTGCGGTGTAAAAAGCGATATATGTAGATAAGCAAAATAAAAAATATATATATTATATTTCAGTACCTTACACTATCTATTACTTTTCATTGCTCTTAACAAGGCATATATTTGTTACGTATACACATTTGTACACACTTGTTATCTTCTTTTTTTTACCAATCTATGTACATTTTTTTGAAGCACTTATGATCTTCTTTTTATAAATATGACAAGAAACTTTATTATAATGTGAGGACAATTTTTTATCAAATTAAAAATTATATTTTACGAAAAATCTCAACCTAAACAAATGAAAACAGAATTTTAAGATCCTTATTTCTTATCTGTTTTACACGAATTGATAAATACTTGATAAGTTGTTAGATATTAAAATTGTGTACCTTTAACGAGATATATGCACGCGAAAAAAATTTTTAATTATTTAACGATGATTCATGAACTGATAAATTGAATTCAAAACTGTGTCATATTCTCTATATTTTTCTTTATGAAAAAATGTATTGCAGGAGAAATTATATCATAATTGCCAACGTAACAGTCGTACTGAAGACGACGTAAAATAATCGAAACAAAAATAAAACTCTCTCTTCTCTTTCTGTTTTCTTTTTGTTCTTTACCCTTTTGTACTTTCATAAAAAGAATTTTACATCAATTGTTCTGAACAATTGTACTTCGGAAAATAACAGAACATACGGATAAGTATTCAAATGATGCCACTTCAATAAAATATGAACACGAACGTAAATTTTACCGCATTATGGACAAAGACTGATATTCGTGAATACAGTGCATCTCTCCTTGACTGCCATAATGTCATCGAATGACGATATAGCGTACGCTATGACCCTCGTCAAACACTTAACTGTACCCATAGGTGCTTGGCCCTTGCAAGAATACAATAAGTTCGCTTTATTGTGTCATATCTTGTCTAGTTTTGGGTTGGTACGTTTCCAATTTTTATATCGTGAAAGGAAATTTTTCTTCTCCTTGTATCTTCGATGTTTAAATATTTACTATGAGATATTGATATTTTATTTTGCTCACAATAATCGAATCTCAATAAACATATCCATTTTTATTTTCTGTCCAGAGTGTGGTGGTAATCATACAATATCTCGAACTCTATTACAATTGCACAAGCGCGACCGCGAATCTTGATGCTCTCACGCTCTTTTCATGCGGTATTCTTGCTTTAACAAAAATAATATGGTTTCGTATATATGCTGATAATCTGATTTGCAATTATTCTTCTGCTATGAATGATTATGCTACAATCGACACCGAGGAGAAGCGCATCATTATGCGAAATCACGCTTTCTGGGGAAGGATAATCTGCATTATTGCCTTATTGATATCTTATGTCGATTCGGTGATATTCATCGTGGGACACGCACAACTAAGCAGCGAGGAAGCTAAAACTAATATAACTATCCTGGGCCATCAAGCAGGGTATGCTATTCCGTCAACATGTACCTTGGCACATTTTCATATTTCAACAGGCTTATATTTGGTGATTTTTATACTGCAGTATATCTATTTAGTAATCATGTGCATTAGCAATCACGGTAAGTCATTACTTGTTTACGTTATTTTTACAAAATGTTTACTTTATATTATATATATATATATAATTTTAAATGCGTATAAAATGTTTAATAAATATTTATTAATAAACTTTGTAATCTATATAATTACATTTTGAATGCAAAGAAGGAATCAATAATGTCATTCCTTATGGACCATTCCTTATGGACCCTCAGTATTTAAAAAAAATAACTTTTTTGTATTTTATTATCATTAAGAATATAAAAAATAACTATTAAGTAAGAAAAATTTGATCTATAAAACCATAATTGTTAATTTAGGTACTTAGTCCTAACTGTTGAATTCTGAGCAATCACTATCAGAAAAAATTTAAAAGTCATGATCGTAGTATTTAATATGTCCAAAAATTTAAAAATAAAATATTTAATCAAAAACCAAAATGAAAACGTAATCAAATAAAAAAAATCAAAGTATTAAAATCTTTACAATAATCACAACCTTAATGCGCTGTATAGAAGTTTAAATCTAATCATCTATTTGCAGGGTTGGGTAGTGCTAAATTAAAAAGATAAAAGTTAAGTTAAAAGTTAAAAAGTTAATTAATTTTAACTTAACTTAGTTACATTTTAGACTCTTAATTTTTTAACTTAATTTAGTTATATTTTATCGGTAACTATTAACTTTTAATTTGGTTTTTTTTAAGTTAATCCTCAGACACAATGCGAGAGGATAATGAGTATATAATTTAGTAATTTTATATTGTATAATCGTTATTTGTGAACAAAAAAAATCAGATTCTTTAATGAATATGCTGTGAGAAAGGAAAAATACAAAAAATTATGTATAATGGTCAAACTTTTTCTTTTTCTTTTTTTTTTTGGTTGTTTGTTCTGATCAAATTTAACTTTTAACTTTTCAATTACTTCTTTTGTATTCAATTACTTTTTTTATAACTTAACTTTTAATTCAATTAATTTCATTATGGATTAACTTGTATATATATATATTTTAATTAAAATAAATTTTCAAGACTGTTAACTTTAACTTAACTTAGTTAAAAAAAAAAGTTAACTTATCCAACCCTGTCTACTTGTTATAGTCACCTATATCAGGAGTAACAAAAAATTAATTTTTTTATTATAAATTGTATTTATCTTTACCTTGAGGATACATATTATATTTATATATAAATAATATTAATATTATGATGGCAGAGAAGTACAATATAAGCGAGAATATTTTATTAGTTCATTTATTAGTTACGAAAAGAGTTAGATATACTATGGCGATAATCTTAATTATTAATTATAGCTTTATGGATCGAGTTTTTTTGACATATGATTATTTTTTACATTCATGATTATACAATAATAACAATTTTTTATTAATCATCCAACTTTATTCATTTGTTAGATGTATATAAAATAAATTTCTACCTTCATTTTAATAAAATACTGAATTTTGCAAATATCATGCAATACCATTAATATTCCTAAAATTTTAACATATCTATTACCTATAATTGATAGTTGTACATTCTTACGATATATTCTTAATTATAATGTTTACAGGTAGTGATTCTGTATTTCTTCATATTGTATTACACGTGTGCGGTCAACTGGAAATTTTAAAGGCAAATTTTATTAACTTTGACGTAACAAGTCCAAAAGTCTATGAACGTTTTAACACATTAATTTTGAGACACGATCATTTGATAAGAATGACCAGAAAGCTTGCTGAAATAATTAGATTCGTTTTGATGGTACAACTTTTTGTCAGCAGTATGCTTATAATTATAGTAGGTAAATTGCATCAATTTGACATGTTCATAAATTAATAAAAAAAATATGAAATGTTATAAAATTTATATTAATTATGTATATTTTTGCAGGATTCCAATTTATCATTGCCTTAACAACTAACGACTATGGTATGATGTCAAAAAGTTTTTTGGTACTTAGCGCTTTTTTGGTGCAATTAACGCTATATAGTGTTGTCGGAGATTATTTAAAGACGCAGATGGAAGAAGTCGCGCAGTCTGTTTATTATAGCTTTTGGTATGATCTTCCTGTAAAAGTAACAAAAAGCATGGTATTTATCATGATGTGGACTCAGTTTCCGATTAAACTACAAGCTGGACACTTTGTTGTAGTAGATTTGGGAACTTACATGAGCATTTTAAAAACGTCTATTTCATATTTATCCGTTTTACGCGTAATGATAGAAGCGTAAAGCATCAGAAGCATACAATAAACAATTTTTCACGTAAAAATATCTATAGAAATAATATACATAGGGTATAATTTTAATAAAATTATTCTAATTATAATCACGATACATTTATTTATTCAAACGAATTAAAAATACCGTACAACAGCAAAATATGAAATATATTTGCATAATTTTAGTAGTGCCATGCTAACAATATTATTCGTGTTGTCTAAGAAACTATTGCACTATTCCAAATTAATCATAATATTGCGCTCGTGCAACTATCGAAATATCGGCCAGGTTTTAGTCATACCAACCATATCGGTCATTATAAGGCCATACCACTTATATGTCTCTTTGATAAAAAAAAACGATTTCGGAGAAAAGAGATTGCAACATGGGAAACGATGCACTGGAAAGAACATGAAATACCCTCTTCTTCAATTTGAGCTTTATTCTCCCCTCCCCCACGATCAATGGCAAATGTTGTACTGGAAAAAGAAACAGCCCCCTCTTTCAATTCGATCTTTATACCACTCTACTTTCATACAAAAGAAAAATTGTTTCCTTCACTTTTAAAAATATAACTGTGTTTTGGAAAATCATAAGGTATTATAGTAAATGCGTCAATAAAATATGAACATGAAAGCAAACGTGTTCATATGGACAAGGACCGATATTATTGAGTTACTGTGCAACGCGCAGCTCTACTGTTCTTAACTGCAATAATGACATGGAACGACGATATAGCATACGCTATGACTCCCTTCAAACTCTTAACTCTGCCATTAGGCGTTTGGCCTTTGCAAAAATATAATACATTTGCTTTAATTCGTTCTATCGTATCCGGCTCCAGTTTGGTACGTTATCAATTTTCATATTACAATAAAATTTCTCTGGAATTCGTATGTTGACATATTATGTTCGCTATCATGTTTGATAATACAAGTGAAATGTTTAGTGCACAGTAAAAACGTGAGGAACAGAAATAAAGCTTCGTTATAAATAATTTCTTTTGTCTGTGTAGACCGCGATGATGATCATGTTATTCCTCGAAATCATTTTCGGTAGCGGCGATGCATATATAAAACTTGATGCTCTTATGCTTATGTTCTGCAACGTTCTCTCTGTACTGAAGCTATTGTCATTCCGCATATATGCCGATAATATGATTCGCAATTTCACGTCTGCTATAAACGATTATCTCGCGATCGACAACAAAAAGAAGCGCGCGATCATGCGGCAACATGCATTCATGGGAAGAATGATTAGCTGCAGTATCTTATTTTTCGCTTATTTGGCTTCAACAATTTTCTGTCTGGTGCCTATAATAGCTGGCGATGGAGAAAATATTCAACTTAATATATCCATTAAAAACCAAGCATCGGATTTACCCATACCTTTAACATGGTCGTTAGGAAGCTATCGTCTCTCTACGAGTTTATTCTTCGTGATATCTATAGTGCAATATTTTCTATTGGTGCTCAATAGCAACTGCAATTGTGGTAATTAACTAATTGTTAATATCAATGAGGCGTTATTTGTTTAAACGCAAATTTTGCTTTTAATACAATTCGATAATAAGCTTCAATTTTTAAATTTTAGCTATTTATTAGCTTTCGGCTATTTTATTGATTAAAAGCATACAAACTAAACTTAATGTCTTATTAAATAAAACATTTGTTTTAATTGATATATATTTAATTTTTATTTACTTTTCACTCGATGTTCTCTTTTAATGCATGTCGTATCTACTTTACAATTGTAATGCAATAACATTTTCTTTTTTTATGTCACTTTTATAGCAGATTCTAACTATTAACCTGTTTATTAAAATTTTCAATGTATATAAATTATGTTGATGAAATGTATATAAATTATGTTAATGAAAAATTGAAATTTATTTATGAAGGTAGTGATTCAATTTTCCTTGCTATCAGTACACATGTTTGTGGACAAATGGAAATCCTAAAAATGGAATTTGTCAATTATGGCGTGGAAAGCAAGAACATATTTGATGATTTTTCAATATTGGCATCAAGACATCATTATCTAATAGAGCATGCGGAACTTCTGGTCGAAGTAATAAGTTTCGTTTTGCTCGTGCAAATAATGTTTAGTTGTCTTATTATTTGTTTGATTGGTAAATAGTTTAAACTAGTTAGTTTTCCGGTTATATAGCGTATTACTACATCTTTGTCAGAAAAAAAGTTTAACTATGGAATATTGTAAATTTTTTTTGCAAAAAGTTTGGAAATTGTATCGATATTGTCTGAGAAATATTATCTAATTCTATATATTTTAATAACGTAACAGAAATATTAGATAAACCTTGAAAAATTTCTATTTCAGTAATGTCAGTAATAATTTTAATGTTCAGTAATTTGTGCATGTTGTGTTATTACGTATTTTTCAGGTTTCCAATTTATTTTGGCATTGAAATCGCATGATGTAGTGATGATAACTAAAACCATAACGGTGATGGGCGCTCTGTTGTTACAGTTATTCTTTTATAGTTTCGTGGGCGACTATCTAAAGTGTCAAATGGAAGATATCGCTCAGTCTATCTTCAGCTGTAATTGGTATTGCTTTCCACTGAAATTAATGAAGAATGTTTTGTTTGTCATTATGCGGTCGCAACAACCTGTCCAACTGTTAGCTGGCAGATATTTTGTCGTAACTATCGAGACTTATATGACCATATTAAAAAGTTCTCTCTCGTATTTGTCCGTCCTGCGAGTGATGATGGATTCATAGAGAGCAGGTAACTATTGAGAGTAAGACTCAACGAAAAAATAACACGGTACATATACATAAGGAATATTATTTTGTAAGAGTTACTATAAAACAGGATATGTCAATTGAGTAATAAAATTGAATAGTAAAACTGAAGTTAATAAAATTATTTTTTTATGATATAAGTCAATGTATTATACATTATTTCAACACATTTTAAGAAGTATGTTGCAATAGAAGTAATTGCTCTGATACGTGATTCATGATTGTGAAAATATAATCGTTGCCAGTGTTTTCCGTTATCTAGATAAAATTATCTAGATAATTATATAGATGAAGAAATGGCTTTATCTTATCTATATCTAGATTATTAAGAATATAGATTATCTTCATCTTATCTTAGATAAAATCTTTTTCAAATTAATTAAGATTATAGAAAAGTATTGTAAAAAATTTCTATATAACTTCTAGTAGTAGTAATGATGAGAATTTTTTTATGATATAGATAAAACTGGGATTAGTACGACATTAGTCATAATTCAAAGCGACTTTCATATTTAGAAGATACATCTAAGGAATTAGATGTTCTTAATTTGTATCCACACGTATCAAACAAATTTTTTTTAAATATGATACATCATTGTCATTATCAGCGCCAATAGAGCGCCTTTTCATTTGTGGACAAAAAATATTAATTCCACGTAGAAACCAGGGTTGGTAAAAAAAACATGTTTTAAACGTATTTTAAACAATTTAAAACATGCTTAATTGATGTTTTTATAATGTTTTAAATATTTTTTTATAATACTGTTTAAAGCATATTTGAAGCATTAAAAACATATTTAAGAAGAAACACAATATGTTTTATTCTTAAAAAAAAAAACATTAGTCTTTATCAACCCTGGTAGAAATCGTTTATTAGACGAAATGTAAGTTGACAAAACTTTTATTCGTAAAAAATAAAGATTAATGAAAATATAAATACATTTTTTGTATCCTAATGCTCAATTTCTTCACTTCCAGATAAGTTGCGGATAACCTTATCCAGGAGACATCTCCATTGAATTCTGTGAGATATTTCTTGGATAAAGTTATCTAAAGGTGAAGAATTGGGCATAAATCGTTTTACTGCCTAATAGTTAATTAAAAACAAAATTATCTTAAAAATTATCTAGATAACAATTTTATAAATTTCATCTTTTATTTAGATTAATGTAAAGTTAATCATCTTATCTAAGATACATTTTTGTATGAATTATCTTATCCATATCTAAATAATTTTTAATTATCTAAGCGCAACACTGATTATTGCTTAGAATTTGATAATTGTCTGGATAAAATAAACCGGATATTAACATGATTAACAATCTTCCATTAACTTCGAGCAAAATATCACAACGGATTGGCATTAATTAAATGTGTCCGCATTTATCAGTTTCATATTTCTCAAAAGAATTTTATTAAGAAGACAACAGATTGTTTGTAGAAATAAAACAGAATTAGTTATTTTTCATAACTAAATAAATGGATATTATATATGTATATATGTATCGTTCATGACTAGAAAATAGTAAAAGAAAAATGGTAATATGGTTATTATGTTTCTTTTGTGTAATTTTTTATTTTTTATTATACATATATTCAAGTCAATGATACTCATGATATGTGCAAAAATGATAATTTATTAATATAAATTTTTAATATAATTACATCTTATATGACAGTTATATTAGATGTTTGCTAAAATGAGGGCCTTACATGTTTATAAATTTAATATATATTATATATATATATATATGTACGCGCTTTGTAAATGTGCGATTACTTTCTCAGGCTATATATGTACATATATGTATATGTTGTTCACACAGCTAAAAAATTAAAAACTGAAAGTATCAAAAAAATATTTATCTGCTCTTTATCACTTCTATTATTTATTGCATAAAAACTTTTTTGAATAACAAATTGATATATTGATGTGTCCAAATTATCGAGCCGAATCTCGAGTCAAATCGAGGTAAACATCAATTATAGATAACATCAATTATCAACAAAAAGTTGTGTCAGTCGTGGCGGCAATTATTTCATAACTTCGATATCTATTAAAGAACAAGTAAAAACTTTTTGCAAGAGATGATGTTAATTATAATAGAATTATGAGTGAAGCTTACATTACCAGCCCCACATTAATACTTTTTTCTCCAGATACTGCTTGTTTTTCCTATAATCAGTTAATTTATCATCACTTAAAGCTTAAAGACATCTAGGGAAATAATAACAAATATAAAGCAGAACCTTTTTATAAAAATGTAAAAAGTTACAATATATTTTTTTATTCAAACTAAATTAAAAGTATCAATAGCAAAATATGAAGTACCTTTAAATAATTTAATGACACTAACAATACTCGAGTTGTTTGATGCACTAAATTCTGTATTAATCGTACACGTTTTTGATGAAAAGATATCGGAATAAAAGATATTATAGCACGATCAATGTAACATGATGCACTGGAAGAAAAATAAACCCCTCCATCCATTCGATCTTTACCCCACTCTACTTCCGTATAAAAAACTTTCTTTCAAAAATAACCATGTTTTGAAAAATAATAAGGTACTTTAGCAAATGTTAAATTGTGCAGTTTCAATAAAATATGAACGTGAAAGCGAACATTGCCGATGATCGACTCATATTATGGAAATACTAGGACCGATATTATTGAGTATGAAACGTGTAGCTCTACATGACTGCAATAATGTCATGCAATGACGATATGGCATACGCTATGACTCCCTTCAAACTCTTAACTCTGCCATTAGGCGTTTGGCCTTTGCAAAAATATAATACATTTTCTTTAATTCGTTCTATCGTGTGCATCTTCAGTTTGGTACGTTTTCAATTTTTATATTACGTATTCTAATAAAATTTTTTTGTCATTTGTAAGTATATTCAATATATCAAGTTCGACAGATCAAATGAGGCGTTCGGTGCAGCGTGAATATAGTGGAAACGAAAAACCGTAGTATAAAGTTTTATATAATAAACAGTACTTCCTGTCTGTGTAGACCGTGATGATGATCATGTTGTTCCTCGAAATCATTTTCGGTAGCAGCGATGCATATATAAAATTTGATGCTCTTATGCTTATGTTCTGCAACGTTCTCTGTGTACTAAAACTATTGTCGTTCCGCTTATACGCTGACAATCTGACTCGCAATTACTCTTCTGCTGTGAACGATTATTCTACAATCGACACCGAGGAGAAGCGCACAATCATGCGGCAGCACGCATTTATGGGAAGAATGATTTGCTACAGTATCGTATTTTTTGCTTATTTAGCTTCATCAATTTTTACACTGGCACCTATGATAACAGGCGATGAGGATGTCCAAGTTAATGTATCCATTAAAAATCAAGCAGCAAAATTACCCGTGCCCATAACATTTTTAGGGGATTTACAAATTCCTACGGGTATATACTTCGTAATCTCTACGGTGCAATATTTTATACTGCTGCTTACTGGTACCAGCAATTGTGGTAATAAGCTGCTAATATCAAAGAGATTTGTATACAGAGTACGAATTTATTTTAAACGTTTTACTTTTCATAAAATTTATTAATGAAATTTCTAATGTTTACACTTTCATTTCAGTAGTTTTACTATTGACATTTAAAGTAAACTTGATATCTATAATTAAAACTTACTTTTATTTATATTACATATACACACATATGCATATTGAATTTCCTAATATTTTTTAATAGACATTATTTTTAATAGATATCGTAGTTGTATTTCCTATTATTGCTACACGTAATATTATTTATATTTTTTAAAATCACTTTTTTAGAAGATCTTAACTGATAATCTTTTTATTATAATTAAAATTTTCAATGTAAAATATTTTAATGCAACATTGAAATACATTTATAAAGGAAATGATTCACTTTTCCTCGCAATCGCTCTCCACGTTTGCGGTCAAATGGAACTTCTAAAAATCGAGTTTACTAACTATGGTGTGAAAAGCAAAAACATAAATAAATATTTTTCAATATTGACACTAAGACATCGTTATTTAATAGAGCTTGCGGAACTTTTGTCTGATGTAATAAGTTTCGTCTTGCTCGTACAAGTACTGTTCAGTTGTCTTATTATTAGTTTGATCGGTAAATATCTCAGAATTCAATATTTCAGAATACATATTATGGAATTATTCAGAATTATAGATTCCGATGGAGTTATTGCCTAGATTTCTATTGTATTTTGCAAGGAAATCGAAATAATTCCGATCGAAACTTATTCCATAATATGGGCTCTGTAGTTGTTATGTAAAACAAGCATTACACCACTAGAATATTGTAAATCATGCAGAACAAAAAGTCAAAATCTTATACACTGTCAGCAGGATATTTCCTAATGCAATCTCCTAGTATTTCAGTGACATAACAAAATTATTGAATAAACTAACAACATTCTTATGGTAGTAATGCCTAATAGTAGAGAATGTTGACTTGTATGCTGTGTAATTGTGTTTTTCAGGTTTTCAATTTATCTTGGCATTGAAATCGCATGATGTAATAATGATAACTAAAACTATTACAGTGCTGAGTACTCTACTGTTACAGTTATTCTTCTACAGTTTTGTGGGCGATTATATGAAGTGTCAAATGGAACAAGTCGCTCACTCAATTTACAGCTCCAACTGGTATTACTTACCAACTAAATTGATGAGGAACGTTTCGTTAGTAATCATGAGATCGCAACAACCTGTTCAATTGCTAGCTGGTAGATTTTTTGTTGTAAATATTAAGACTTATATGACAATATTGAAAAGCTCGCTTTCATACTTATCCATCCTACGAGTAATGGTAGAAACATAGGGCACGAGTAATTTCAGAGACGCTTGAAAAAGCTTGAAAAAATAATACCATATACACGTAATCCATATACAATATCATTTGTAAAATTACTTCAGGACATAGGATATGTCTATAATTAAATAATTAAATTAAAATAACGTATAATAAATCAACCTAACTAATTAAAATAAATAATATAAGCTTTTATTACATTAGTAAATATCATCACACGTTGTGTATCACTTTAACAGATTACTTTAAGACGATTTTGTAACGACAGGTGCTTTGCGATTGCGAAAATTCAATCATTGCATGCAATTTGATAATTATTGAACAAGAAAAATATTTATAATAAGTTAGCAGTTTGGTAACAGTTCGAGTAGAATACAGATTGTCATCATCAACGTTTGTATTAAATTCGTGTTCTGCCACTAAATTTTACCAATATAATCCGACAGCAGATTGCAAAAATGAAAAATTAATCATTTAATAACTATATAAATATCATTTAAATAGCTACAAAATAGGGTGTTCCGCAATTTTTTGACAAGCGCTTTTGTGCAGTTAAAGTGGACTAAACTGATTATGAGTCGAAAAGTCCTGTACCATTTTGCAATTTTCGCAGTGATTAATGAGATATTAATTACTAAAAATTTTTGAATATATGTATATTGTATATACAGGGTGACCCATTTTAATCTATCACTCCAAATATTTTCGTTCCCTTGCATTTTACAAGAAAATGTTTCAGACAAAATTGTATGGGGGCCATAAAATGGTACCATTGATTTGACCTTGGATAGTCGCTTAAAGGTCACATGAAGGTCACCTTCAATTTCTTAAATTAAATTCACTATTTTTTATTACATATTCTTGTAGCTTACCTCGAGAGCTTTCCGAAACACTATAATAAAATATATTTTCATTAAGTATTTTTCGAGTTATAAGGCTCGAAAGTTACAATACAGCCGGCATTAGCATTACGCAAGTTGTTCGACTGACGGCTAAAACTTCTTGAATGTTGTTCAGGATCATGTCCTGGATAACATTTGTCAAGATCAAAGCTATTGCAGGCTGTACCTCTTATTTTAATTTTTGCACTAAAAATTTATTTTTACGTAAAAATGAAAATAAGAAGTATAATCACCAATGGTCTTCACAAAAACGCTTGGCAAAAAATTGCAGGACACCTTGTATATAATAAATATTGCTAGTTTTCTGCAATTAATTTGTCATCATATTCTGTTGTTCTAGAGAAAAATCGAAGTGTATGTTGAATGTAAAAAGAAAATGCCACAACATAAACTTCCAGAAAGCATAAATTAAAAAGCGAAGTAAAAAAGATATATTTATATATTAATTTATTGTGTTTTCAACTGTTTCCATTTATACTTCTGTCACTCTATTTTTAAATTCAAATTTCGCTTCAATTTTTATTTTCCCTATAATAACATATTCTGTTATATTTCTGTTAGTATTCTATTAATATTTCTTTGTAAAAAAAATTTGTAGCAGACATTTTGCAAAATTGACTTTCAATAAATTTGGTTGTCTGAATAAATAACAAACAGATATAATTGTTAACATCGATAACACTGTCGTCTAATTGTAAGAAGTTGATGCACTAAATTCTAAATTAATTCTATATATTTTTAATAAAAATATGGTATCGAAATAAAGGCTACTGTACATGATCAATGACAGATGAAGTACTGGTATGGAGTGGCGGCCTTAGTTATTTTATAACTATAATATAAATAAAATGTTATAAAATTTAATTATAATATAAATAAAATGTAATAAAATTTAAATGATTACAAAAATCCCGCACGATTTCTGTAGTCAATTTGTCATCACATTCTATTATTTTAGTAAAAAAGATCGTAACGTAAATTGAATATAAGAAGAAAATAATGCAGAAGCGTAAACAAAACTTATAGAAAGCGTATATTGAAACAGTAATGACTCGAAAAGAAGCATTTATTTCTTAACACTTTTTCCACTACTTCAATCTGTCACTCTCCTCTTACATGCGACTTATTCCAATTTTTATTTTTGCCGTGATAGTACATTCTGTCATTTCTGCTAGTATTCTCTATCAAGAAAATTTGTAGCAAATATTTCACAAAATCTCTCTATTTTCAATTCGACAAAATTTAGCTATCTGAGTAAATATAACAAGTAAATATACTAAAAGGTATTGAAGATCAATGACAGCCAATAACTAAAAATAATGCAGCGGAAAAAAAATAAAATACCCTTTCTTCTATTCGATCTTTGTCCTATCCTACTTATATAAATATTTCTTTCTTTCAGTGTTTGAAATAACTGTATTTTGGAAGATAACAGGGTACATTAATAAATGTTAAAATTGCGGTACTTCAATAAAATATGAATGTGAAATAGAATGTCGCCAATGATCGATTCGTATTACGGACAAAGACCGACGTTTACTGACAATGAGGACTGTGAACCGTATAACTGTATTTGACTACGATAATGTCTTTGAATGACGATTTGGCGTACGCTATGACTCCTTTGAAATTCTTAACTCTACCATTAGGTGTTTGGCCCTTACAAAAATATAACATATTTTCTTTAGTCCGTTGTATCGTGTGTATCTTCAGTTTGGTACGTTCTCTATTTTCATCTTATATATAACGCAATAAAATTACTGTTTCACTTCCCAGTGAGAAATGACAATGGAATCGACGTCGATGTCGATTCGACGTCGATTCCATTGTCATTTCTCACTGGGTTATATTCGACTTACAAGTTTAAGAGTAGCTTAAGTGAGATACTTGGTGCACCGTGGACACAGTGGAAATGAAAAAAAGGATAAAACTTATTGTTAGTAATAAACAGTTCATGTTTCCTATCTGTGTAGACCGTGATGATGGTTGTATTATTCCTCGAAATCAATTTCGGTAGCGGCGATGCATATGTAAAACTCGATGGTCTTATGGTTATGTTCTGCGCCGTTCTCTCAGTTTTAAAACTGTTGTCCTTCCGCATATATGCCGACAATTTGGTTTGCAATTTCTCTTCTGCTATAAATGATTATTTTGCGATCGACACCGAGGAGAAGCGCACGATCATACGACGGCACGCTTTCATGGGAAGGATGATTTGCTTCAGTATCATATTTTTTGCTTATTTGGCTTCATCAATTTTCATGCTGACGCCTATGCTAGCAGGCAATAAGAACATCCAAATTAATGTATCTATTAAAAACCAAGCATCGGAATTACCCGTGCCCTTAACATGGGCTTTAGGAAATTTTAATCTCTCTACGAATTTATACTTGTTGATCTCTGCGGTGCAGTATATCCTATTGGTGCTTAACAGCACTAGCGATTGTGGTAATAAACAAATTATTAATATCGAAGAGACTTGCATAAATTATAAAATATATTAATTTACTTTAAACATTTCATTTGTTATAAAATTTATCAATAAGTCTCCTAATTTTTATTAACTATTGGCATATAAATTAAATTCGATGTTTACAAGAATTTATTTTTATTGGTATTGAAAGTACTGAATCGTCATATAATTTTTAATAAATGTTCTTTTTAATGATATTATAGCTTACTGTAGTAATGCTATAAACATTTTTTTTTTTTCACATCACTTTATTTGTATTAGATTCTAATTGATTTCTAAATTCTTATTATTATTATTAAAATAATAATATAAGATTCCTAAGTCCATAATTATTATTTTAATAATAATAATTATATTATTAAGTAATAATAATTAATAGCATAATCTTAATTTAAATTAAACTGTTTGGATACAACACTGAAACATCTATTTATTAAGGATGTGATACACTTTTTCTTGCAATCACTCTCCATGTCTGCGGACAAATCGAACTCCTAAAAATCGAATTTATCAACTACGGTATGAAAAACAAAGATATAAATGAAGATTTTTCAAAATTGGCGTCTAGACATCATTATTTAATAGAGCATGCGAAACTTCTGGTAAATGTAATAAGTTTCGTTTTACTCGTGCAAATGCTGTTCAGTTGTCTTATTATTTGCCTGATCGGTAAATATCTCTTCAATTATACTTATTTTGCATAATAGGAATTGTGTTATACTGCTAGAATATAAATTTCAAAAATCTCTTTCGTTTAAAAAAATGATAAAGCTAAAATTTTATCAAATAATGTATTATAGATACCATAGAAGACTTTTTAGTATCATATAAGTATCCTAATAATACAATAAAAATAGCATATAATTTTTGTCAGTATCAGAGAATTACTTGTATTATGTAATCACAAAAGATGTGTATTTTTCAGGTTTCCAGCTTATCTTGGCATTGAAATCGCATGATGCAGTAATGATAACTAAAACCATAACAGTGATGAGTACTTTGCTGTTACAGTTGTTCTTTTATAGTTTCGTAGGTGATTATCTGAAATGTCAAATGGGAGAAATCGCACATTCAATTTATAGCTGCAATTGGCACTGTTTGCCAATGAAATTAATGAGAAACGTTTTGTTCATCATTATGCGGTCGCAGCATCCTGTTCAGCTATTAGCTGGCAAATTTTTTGTCGTAAACATTGAGACTTTCATGGCCATATTGAAAAGCTCCCTTTCGTACTTATCTGTCCTGCGAGTAATGTTGGACGCATAAAGCACAAGTTATCATTGTAAGAAAAACTCAAAAAGTAACATCATCGTAAGCGATATCATAAGCAATATTGTAAGCAATATATCATTTTATACATATAAAAATTATCCTTGATGAAAAATTATTATAATCCTGATATTTGATTGAATAATTAAAGTAAATAAAATTGCATTCTTTATTACATCAATAACGTATTACGTTTTGTTATCAACATATCATTTTAATAAACTATAACATATGCGTGACTCGCGACTACGAAAATGTGATAGTTGCATATAATTTTATAATTATCAAGTAAAACAAAATATTAACATCGTATGCTAGCAATTTGCGAGTAGATACAAGTTAAATATTGTTGGCATCTAATTTCGTTCGTGTTAACTCATACTCTCTGCTAACAGATTTTACCAATATAATGATCCGATGCAAATGATTATAATTATATATTTTTTTTGGTTTAATAATCATTGTTTTTCAAAATGTTCATCTGTTGGACGGTGTTCGTCAAAATGAGTCTACAAGTATTAAAAAGTCTTTCTAACCGCTACTTGGTAGACCGGTATTATATTTGATGAACAATTTTTTCAAAAGAGGATGCTCATTTAACATGCTGACATCGGTATCATCCGAATTTAAATAGTATGCCATCTTAGGTCGTGTTCGTATATTACTGCCAGTTGTCAGTACAGTATAGTACATGTAACGGGAATTATAGATTTTCACTACTGACAGTAATATACAAACAGCCTTAGTACGGAATCTATAGACGTTGCTCAAGACTCGAGATGGTCTTAAGCTAAAGCTTGAACCAATCAGAGAGCCGTATTAGCATTTTAAGGAAAAATATAAAAAATTATATAAAACCGTCATTTTTTTTCCTTTAATTGTTCGGACTAAACTTAACTTTTAACTTTTCAATTACTTTCTTTATTAACTTAACTTCTAATTCATTTAATTTCATTATGGATTAACTGTATCTTAAATAAGTTAAATTTTCAAGGCTGTTATTTGAACAAGAGGCTGTAACTTTAACTAATTAACTTAGTTTAAAAAAGTTATTTACTCAACTCTGCTGATTACTTACCGCTTTTGATTGGCTGTTGAGAAGCATTGCGCCTGGCGACGATATACTTGCGACTTGTAGACCACTACTGGCAGTACTGGCACTACTTGTCATCGTGACGAGCTTGCACCATGGAAAATTATGGCCGACAGCGTTGGATAGCGTTGTGTAGTTCGTGTCGATAGTATTGATACATTTGTTTTCATCCGGAATATTTCAATAGTGATTTGTTATAAATATTTAAAAATGGCTATAATTATGTTTATGGAAGAATGCGTAAAAATTAGTGCGTGATTGCGTCTATAATTAATAAGTAAATATTGTGTTACCTAATCTAACCTAATCTAACCTAATCTGTACGGAGCACGTGAGCTCGTTTGTTCAATGAAGTTGAAATTTGTATTTACATATTATATATATATATATATATATATATATATATACATGTGTCGATAGCTCGGAATCTAATTTATATAATCTTGAATGAACGGCGTAATTGGAATGGCTCAGCGATTAAGCAACAAGGCAAAACTGAAATCGTTATTGACCGTAACCAGTAGCGCAGTCGCTCTGTTTGGTGGCATTTCTCTCTACCAAGGCAACGAAAGATTTTACAGTGACGTCGCTATACCTCTGGTGCAACTGATAGATCCGGAAATCGCTCATAAACTCGCAGTGAAAACTCTGAAATATGGCCTCGTACCAAAGCAAAAAACAGATGATCCTACCTTACTCCAAACAACTGTGTTGGGTTTGCAGTTTAAAAATCCGATTGGTATGGCTGCGGGATTCGATAAACAAGGAGAGGCAGTAGAAGGATTGCACAAGATTGGTTTTAGTTTTGTAGAGATAGGTAAAATTTATAACAATAGTATAGACTTAGACTTCAATATTTTTAGGTATAACGATAATTTTATCTTGCTTTTTTACAGGTTCTGTGACACCTAAACCTCAATCTGGTAATCCAAAACCTAGAATTTTTAGATTACCAGAAGATAATGCAGTTGTAAATCGATATGGATTTAACAGTGATGGTCATGATATTGTATGGGATCGCCTCAAGAGATTAAAGGAGAATAAAAATTTTGGTGGCATTCTTGGGGTGAATTTAGGTAACAACAAGGAGACAAAAGATGCGATTCAAGATTACATTGATGGCATAAAAAGATTTATGGATGTAGCAGATTATTTTGTAATTAATATTTCTAGTCCCAACACTCCAGGTTTAAGATCTTTGCAAAATAAGAAGAATTTGGAAGAATTACTGACCAGAATAAATGCAGCAAGAGAATCATTGGATAGTAAACAGCCATTACTTTTAAAATTGGCTCCAGATCTGTCGGATTCTGAGCGACAAGATGTGGCAGATGTAGTTTTAAATAAGAAGTCTAGAGTCGATGGTTTAGTTTTATGCAATACCACAATTACGCGAACAAACTTGATTAATCCAAACAAGAAAGAAAGCGGAGGCCTCAGTGGTGCACCTCTCGTAGATATTTCCACAGCTATGATATCTGACATGTATAAACGAACGCGTGGCAGCATCCCAATTATTGGCGTAGGTGGTGTTTTCTCTGGAGCTGATGTTTATGTCAAAATAAGAGCTGGTGCTTCGCTGGTGCAACTTTATACCTCGTACATATATCACGGACCGCCAATAGTTGGCAAAATCAAAAAAGAATTATGTGAGATACTTAAAATCAACGGTTTTTCTTCCGTAATTGATGCAATAGGCAAGGATGTTGAGAATAAATAGATGTTTTAATTCTAATGTGTTTATATATACGTAAATAATACACATTCGATGCAATTTATACAAAATCTGTTGTAGGTAAATAATATTTTGTTACATCATTTATATTGTTATAATTGAATGCGAGTTTTCATTATGTTTGTATTAAATCAATAGTCTGTCTACTTATGTATACTTATTTCGAGCTCACTTCCAGCTCGCTATGTATGTATAAAGTTTCTAGAATTACGTAATAACGTTCTGTGGTATGTATTTACAGGAAATATTCTATATATTTTAATTTCTCTGTGTCATAAGTCAATAATAATACTTAATATAGTATATCTATATATAGAGGTATATATTTGTATAAGGGTGAATCAGAGTAGTTGAACCAGTTTTTTACCCTATAAGAAAATTATCGATTACAAATCTAATTATCGACTTAACGATACAGATCGGATGCGTGGATAACATCGTGCGAATTGTTAGTTTGAGCGCGAAAATAGGTACGTTTGATGTTGAGTTGTGAAAATTGTTACAAGATATTAAAAATATGCCTTTTTCCAGCAATTCGCATTCATATCTGGGTCCCTATTCTTGAAAAGAAACGAAAAGAATACGAAAGTCTAGAGAAATACCACAGTATACGTTACGTATACTATAGTATTTTTCTAGAATTTCGTATGTTTTTTTTTTTCAAGAATAGAGGCCCTGAACTGTATCGCTAAGTTGATAATTTTTTCGTAAGGTAAAAAACTGGTTCATCAACTGATTCACCCAGTATAATCAGTTTAATAATAATCGTAATTTGTATCGCTGATTTGTATTTTGTTTTCTTCATATATGTAAAAAGTAATCGTCATAATTATTTATAATTATATTTAAATGTATGCAGTATGTCATTATGTATATATAATAAAAGTTGTAGGAATTTTATTTTGATCACAATTAGAAAAAAAGCACATGTGATTGATATGATACAAGTGCCTAAAAACTGGTTTTAATGGTTTGATGTTTACGCGGATTGAAGTATACACATTTTCGTTTTACATAAATATTTATACGATACATTTGCAAATTCACGTTATATTATATCTGTATGTTCTAGAATTATAATTTCTGTAAAATGTATTTACAAAAAGCGCTACATAATATTTTAATTTCTTTAATATATATATATTATATATATATATTAGAAATTAAGAAATATATTATATAAAATGAAAATATGTATACATCAATCCGTGTAAGCATTGATCATTACAACCAGTTTTTGCGTCAATTTGTATTATACCAGTCACACATGCTTTTTTTCTGATTTTTGCAATGACCAAAATAAAATTCCTACGAGTATTATTTGTTATGTATACATGATGGCATACTGTATGCGTGTAAAACACACAATTTTAATAATTATGACAATCATTTTTAAATATGAAAAAAACAAGATACAAATCATTGAACTGATTTATTATTGCATATAACTAATTTTCATGTCGGTTCAAGCTATTTATCATCATTAAATTAATTTATAACTTAAAATTTACAAAGATAAAAGTTGTTCTTTTGATCAAATTAAATTTATAACAATTATGCAAATAAATCCTCGATACGCCAAAAATCTTCATATGGTTGATTGAAGAAAGAAAATAAGTAGAAAAAAAACATTAAAAGTGAAGAATTGAAGTAGAAATGCAGAAAATGCAGCTTTGCAACTGTTGTAAGATTCTTTAATATAATTACTTTAAACATTTAGATCCATGATGAACTAAAGACAAGAACTAATCGTATTAAAGAATCTTACAATAGCAAAGTTGTTTTTTTTTTGCTAAATGCAATTATTCTGCTGTTGGTTCGCGTCGCCTCCGCAGTTTTAAATTTTCGCGGGTCGTTTACGCGTAATGTCGATCTTCGTCGCCGAGCGGCGCCACTATCGCGTGTACCAAAGTCATTGTTGTGATCTCTCTCTCTCTCTCTCTACTTTGATCTACTTCAATGATCAATCTATTTCAGACTCCTTTCCGCAATGCCGTCGTAATCGAAGCAGTCAGCTGTTGTGTCGAAGTGAACATCCTTAACCAACAAATTTTGCGGATAGCTGGCTTTATACGACCCGGGTGACCCTCGACGAGCCGTGCTTATTTCGGCGATCGACTGGCCTGCGCTCGACAGCACGGCGAAGGTACGCTTTTCCTCGGCAACGGTGATCACGCATTGCTTGTCGTGGGAGAGACCGAGTCACGGTCTCTCGGCACCTTCGCATTTGCATCAGCGAGTGCCAGTCATTAGGCGCACGAGCCACGAGACGCGTTCGCGAACGGAGATAAGACGGGATTTTTCACGAATCGCGCCTTATCTCGAGCACCTCTCTTGTTGGAGAGCGAAAAAAAAAAAGGAATAAGCACATCCGTCATCCCGCGGCGTTCGCTGACGCACGTTGGCGACGAATAAACAGAATCGTCGAAAGTGCGAGTCTATGTCAGCATATTTTTTTACCATCTCTGTCGCACGTACGTACGCACATTCGCTCGATCACGCGTCAGTAGCAATCGTTCGACATCCGACACGAGAACGCAAAATCCCGAGACAGTTCGCGTGACGGTATTTCGTCGTCGTGATCTCCCGCTGCGTCTTTGATGACAGCTCTCCCGCGATGGACGATGCCACGTTTAAATCGTCGCAATAGAGATGTCCAAACGAGCTGCGTCGTGACTAATTCCAATCCGATTGAGCGGCTAATTCCAATTATAACAAATCGTCGAGCAGTGATTTTTTTTACGAATTTAGCGTTTGAATTTATTGATCCAGTGGAAATTTTTTTTGAACGAGTGTGAAAGTATATCAAGCTGGCTTAATTTTGTGATAGCGATTCTGTATTGAAATAAAATACTGGGGTGACGTCATCGTCGTCGTAAGAAACAACTTTCCCTTTTTGCGAGGCCTTATCTATATTAATATTAATATTATTTTAATTTGTATTATTATTTGCCGTTAATATTCATTTTATATCACTTATTTGTATTTTGCATTAATTTTTCATATTGTTTGTTCAATGATTTACAGCTCGAAAGATTTTAGTAAATCGAATTGTGAATGTATAAATAAATAGTAATTTGTCAATAGTATCCAAAGTCCAAAATCGGGATATAAAACTGAAATTTTTGTAAGCTGAAAGACGTCTTATGTCCGTTTCTATCAATGTAGATTAACTTTAATTTCAATTCAATTTATACTTTTAACTGTTTTTTAATTCTTAGAACTAGAAAAAAATGAAAGTTAGTTGAATCAAGATTAAAATTAAATTACGTTGGTATAAATGGACATTAAAGATGTCTTACGTCTTGGTTTTAGACTGTTGTCTGAGTTTCTTCAAGCAGACCTTGCTTTAATGGTCATTCAAGTTTGCTATCAAGCGTCATTCAATTGTGTAACGTAATACGGTACGAGGAAAACAATCCGTCACTAATGCTTAGCACATGATAATATGCATTTTATATCAGCAGGGCCGGTTTATGAAAGATAACGAGGCGTGATACAATCTGAAAAATATGCGTATCGCAGAGAGCGAGAGTTTGCAGGGATACGATCTCTCCTTTGGATCGTGCGTGTCGATTTTAAGTATTGCAACACGCATAATTCATGTGTCCTATAGACGTGGTGAAATCGCCGATGATCATTGCGTTCGTGCGATTTAACTTGTATCATTCCTTTCCCGGAGAAAGTGGCGAATCGTTTTGACAAAAACGTGTTAAAAATACCGGATGACCGCGCGCAGTGATATATCGTAGCTGGAATAAAAAAACTAGCCTCGGCCACTCTTTCGAAGATATGAAACCGCATTTGCGAGATCGGTTATCACGGACGTAGCAGATAAAATCTGTCAGAATGTTCATTTCTATCAATGTAAATTGTAAAACTTTAATCTCGATTTAATTTGCTTTTTATTTTTTTCCTAACTCTACAAGATAATTAGAACTTGAGAAACTAGTCCAAGAAACTTTTTCCAAGAATTAGAAGTAAAAAATTAATGCGAATAAATTAAATCAAAATTAAAGTTAATCTACATTGATACATATAGAAATGGACGTTATAGATTAGATATTTTCCAGACACGGCGTTTTCGTTAACTCACTTGAGCTTTTCGTTTTCGAAGATTTAAAACATTAATTTAATTTTTAATACGAATATTTAATATGAAAGTGCACAACAGAAACTTGTATTGCATATTTTTGTAATATTCAATAAATATATTATTTTTTAAAAGAATGTTATGACTATATTCAAAATTCCTGTCGGCAAAAGTAATTCCGGAATAATTCGTACAATTTATTCGTGTATAGGCATTTATTGTATTCGATCATTGATTTTATTTTTATAACATCCTGATGTGTACCTAACTATAACATGGTCTGAGTATAAATGTTTCTCCAACGTCTCGTGGATGGAGACGTGATATTCATTAAGTTCTCAATTATCTCTGTAATGAATCACTTGAATGACAACGACAATGAATAAGCGAGATCATTGTTATTGCTGCGGTCACGCGTGCAGTATCAAGTTTGTGAAATCTATTCATGCTGTTAATAGAGCCGATATTTCGCGTATCACATTTTACGTAATTGAATTTATATAATACACATAAAAAGGAAAACAGCATATTAATCGAAATAATATATCTCTAAAATTTTGTTTAAACAGCTGCGTACATTTATCGGATGTTCTGTATAAATTTTAATCCCTATGCAATATAATTTAAAGAAATATAATTTTTGTAAAAATTAATATAATTCAATTGTGTGTGTTGTGCTTTCATAAAGATTTTATAATAATTTGCTTATTAATTAATATTTTAAGATATCCTAATTAATTACAATTGTTTGCTATGATTGCAGAACGTGTCATTCTGAATATTACGAAGCATACTATGACTCTCTCTAGCAACGCGTAACGTTTCCCAATACTTCTCTCAAAATGTTTAAAGAAAACGAAAATGGCGTGGGTTGCAATGGTGCACCACCTCGTCCTCGGAGATTATTTCCCCGATTTTCTCTGCG